AAGAAAAAGAGTAAGCACTTGGGTGGCTCAGTCGGTTAAGCAACCAACTTTGGCTCAGATCATGATCTCAAGGATCATGAGTTTGAGCCCTGCGTTGCGCTCTGTGCTGACAGCTCAGAGCCTGGCGCCTGCTTCAGATTCTGTGTTTCCCTCTCTCTCTGCTCCTCCCCTGCTTGTGCTCTGTCTCTCTGTCTCTCTCTTTCAAAAATAAATAAACATAAAAAAAATACATAAAGTTCGGGGCACCTGGGTGGCTCAGTCAGTTGAGCGTCCGACTTCAGCTCAGGTCACAATCTCATGGTTCATGGGTTTGAGCCCCATGTTGGGCTCTGTGCTGACAGCTCAGAACCTAGTGACTGCTTTGGATTCTTTGTCTCCCCTCTCTCTGCCCCTCCCCTGCTCACACTTGTCTCTCACTCTCTTTCAAAAATAAATAAACATTTTAAAAAAAGAACACAAAAAAAATAAAAGAAAAAGAAAAAAAGTATAAGTAACAAATTTTGTTAATTTGTTACATAAACATCACAATATTAAAATATTAATATTAAATAATTATAACTAACAAATTAACAAACAAAAAGAAAAAATGGAAATAAAAAAAAGTCTTGATTAATCCAAGGAAGGTAAGACATGAATGAAAAGGAAACAAAAAACAGATAACAGAGAAAACAAACAGATGATAGACAAAAATCCCAAATAGATCAGCAATTACATTAAAAGGATTAAATATTCCAAGTAAAGAACTAAGACTGTCATACTGGGTGAAAAAAAAAAAAACATAATATGTTGTTAACAGACCCATCTTATTTTTTAAGCACACAAAGTTTGAAAGTAATAAAATGGGGAAACACACAATGCAAACAGTAACCAACTATACTTACATGAAACACAGAGTTTAAGGCAAGAAGCATTATTCTCATAAAAGGGACATGCATAAGGATAAAGGAGTCAATCCATCAATAAGTTACCAACAGTCAAAATCTGAATATACATATAACATAGCTTTAAAATATATAGAACAAACATTGTCATGACAGTTAAAAAAAAAAAAAGCTACAATCATAGTGGATGACTTCATCACATCTCTCAAAAGCTGACACAACAAGCAATCACTAAGGATATAGAAGATCAGAACCATAAACTTGACTTTTAGAACACTGCACCCAACAATGACAGAATAGATCTTACATTATTTCGTGTATGTAAAGTTCAAACTGAGGCAAAACTAACGTATGGTGTAAGAAGTCAGAATAGTGATAGCTCATGGCAAGGGTTAATGGTTGGAAATGGGCATTAAGAGGCTTCTGAAGCAAGGGGTTCCCGGGAGGCTCAGTTAAGTGGCTAACTTCAGCTCAGGTCATGATCTCGTGGTCCGTGAGGTCGAGTCCTTCGTCGGGCTCTGTGCTGACAGCTTAGAGCCTGAAGCCTGCTTCAGATTCCGTGTTTCCCTCTCTCCCTGCACCTCTCTGCTCACACTCTCTCTCAAAAATAAACATTAAAAGAAAAAAAAAAAGAGGCTTCTGAAGTGCAGCCAGTGCTCTCTCTTGATGTGGGTGCCGACGGTCCTGGATGTTCACTTTGTGATTATTCATTGTGTTTTACACATCTGAGTTTTCTGTGTTTGTTATACTTCTATTAACATTTTTACCTGAAGAAAGGAGGGAATCTTTGGATTTGACAGCATTGAGAATCACTGCTCTACTCTACTGTTCTGATTCCCTGCCACCTCCCTAATTGCACATTCAACTCTTTTCCTCTCCCCAATCACCTACCGACTCCAGCCACCCTGCCTTCCTCACATATGCCACAAAGTCTTTCCCATCATAAGGCGTTTGCTGTTCTCTCCGCCAGAAATGTTCTCTCTCCTATTCACAAAGCTAATTCCCTTGCTTCATTCATATGGCACCTCCTCAGAGAAGACTTCTTTGGCCACTTTATGTAAGGTAAGACTTCCCCTGAGGCACCTGGGTGACTCAGTTGGTTATGCGTCCAACTTTTTGGCTCAGGTCATGATCTCATGGTTTGTGAATTTGACTGAGCCCGCATCTGGTTCTCTGCTGTTAGTGCAGAGGTCACTTTGGAGCTTCTGTCTCCCTCTGTCTCTGCCCCTCCCCCACTCGTAGGGCTCTCTCTCTCTCTCTCTCTCAAAAATAAATTCACATTTAAAAAATAAAAGAAAGACTTCCCCAAATCATCTCTCCCCTTACTCTAGCTTATTCTCTTTGTAGTTCAGTCAGTTACTGCTTTATATATTTTGTGTCTATATCAAGTATACTTACGAACATAAGCATTGTGTCTTCTTGATCCATTATTATTTTATCAATACGTTATATCTGTTTTTACCTTTGTGATGATTTTCACCTTCAATTCTGTCTATAGTTGTTACCTAGTTTTTCTTTGATTCATATTTCTATGGTATATCTTTTTCTATTCCTTTATTGCAGCCTTTCTCTTCCCTTTTTAAACATATCTCTTCTGGGGCGGCTGGGTGGCTCAGTCGGTTAAGCGGCTGACTTCTGCCCAGGTCATGATCTCACGGTATGTGAGTTCGAGCCCTGCGTCGGGCTCTGTGCTGACAGCTCAGAGTCCGGAGTCTGTTTCAGATTCTGTGTCTCCCTCTCTCTGACCCTGCCCCGTTCATGCTCTGTCTCTGTCTCAAAAATAAGTAAACGTTAAAAAAAATTTTTTTAAACATACCTCTTCTAGAAAACATAGTACTAGATATTTTCAAAAATCCAATCTATATGTCCCTGGCTTTCAACTGGTGAGTTTAGTCCATTTATGTTTATTATAATTAATACAAAAGCCCATTTTATGTTTTCTATTTTTCATGCTTTTATATAGATTTTTTTCTTTTTTCCCATATTGAGCATTGGATTGAGCAAAATTTTTTGTACTAAATCCAAAAGTTATGCTTTGCATCTTTATTTTTCTGGTGGTTACTCAGAATTAAACACTACATTTCCCAACTACCAGGTGTGGTTACATAAATTCTGGCTGATGAAATATAAGCAGAAGTGTGGAACTTCCAGAAAGAATTTGTTAAAAGGGAAGAGGTTCCCCTTTCCCCCTTGCTTCCTCCTGCTACTTTCCCCCAAACTGGAAACTGGAACACCTACATGGGACCCTGAAGTGATCATGAGTGTGGCAGTGCTGAATGGTACGCAGACAGTTGAGTGTGTCTCTCCATGATAATGTCCTGATACTAGTCCTGGCTACCTACCAGGCAAAATTCTTTCACCTGAACGAGAAAGAAACTTCTTTAAGTCGCTATTATTTGGGATTTTTTTCTTAATCACATGCCACTGGACCTAATAGGGTACTGCTCAATTCCAGGAATTGTTGCCTTTACTGTAATTAATTTTCTAGCCTATGGGATGAAGGTGTATCTTCCTTGGTCCTTACCCAATTTATGGCACTTGGCCTTCTCCTCTGGACTTCTGCTACTCTAATTCCCACACACGGTGGGTTTCCCCAAAAGCAGAGCCCAAGACGAAGACCTGACCGTAAGTAGTTGACTTCAGATCTTGGGAAATGAGGGTGCAGACAGAATAAGAAGGAAGGAAGAAAGGCATTAAGAAGGCTACTGAGGTCACTACTGTGGGGTACTTGATTTCACTGGGACCTCCTGAAAAGTGCTCAGAACACCTCTTAAAATTGCTTCTCACCAGATAGACAGGGCACTGGAGTATTTATCTACTAGACCCCATCCCCTGTCGGCTAAGAACCTCATGGGTTCTCCATCATGCATTTGGAAGGAGCAAGCTCCCCATACAGAATTTTCGGTGGCAGAAATTCTAAAGAGGGTGTCATGAGACCGAGATGAGATGCTGTCCCTGTGAGGTGAGTCTGAGCTTGTTGCACACAACTGCCCACTGCAGCTACAACTACAATGAGAAATGGGCAAAGGGAATGTGGCACCAGATACCAGAGCTATCTGCTCTACTGACCAAGGAGTTTTCACAGCTGCTATGTGATTTTCTGAGCTCTATTGGCTTCCCTTTTGTTTCTATGGCAGCTATAGGGTTGAGTTCAGGAAATGAAACCTATAGCCTATGCAAATTCACCATTTTATCTTGAACCAAATCCCCAGTTTTAGAAGATCACTTCTCCCTGAACTTTTTCACGACATGTTTCCCCATCTCTTTGCTCTTTTCCAATGAATTCCTCCTCTATATTGCAACCCTTAAATTGCAGGGAGTCCTCAAGTTTGTATTGATTCTTTTTTTCTTTCACTGTACCATCTCACTGAAATATCTCACTTATTTCTCTCTCATTTACCACCTATAAAGAGAACTTAACCAAGCTTTATTTCCAGTCCAGAGCTCCTGACTTCCTAATCCAAATTCATCATCCTGTACTAGATGTGGTCACCTAGATTCACCATATAGGTAAGCAAATCTAACATGTCTAAAAAAAAAAAAAAAACAAAACTCATTATCTTTCTATATCTCAATTAATGGCATCTTCACCTAACTCATCCAAGCTAGAAACTCCAAGCTAGCAACATCTCTGCTTTCTTCTTCCTTCACTCCTATTTAATCACTTGCAAAAATTTGGTTGCTCTTACATCTTTCAAGTGTACCCTCTTCTTTATTCCTATAGTAATTAACCTTTATAATTTTGTACGAGCTTTTTTAAGGGACGAAAAATGGTCTCTTGCCTCTCCTTTCTCCCCTTGCCAAACAAAGAGGAGATCAGTCACACCAGGATATAGTTTAGTCAAGAAACTTCACATGGTTTGTTTTGAAAGCCCCTATCCTTCCTCCAAAATTCCCAATTTCCTGCTCCAGAGAGGCAATCTATTTCAACACCTTGAGTAGACTCTTATTATTTACTTACTTTCTTTAAATAATATGCCTGTGGGGCGCCTGGGTGGCTCAGTTGGTTGGGCGGCCGACTTCAGCTCAGGTCATGATCTCGCGGTCCGTGGGTTCGAGCCCCGCGTCGGGCTCTGTGCTGACGGCTCGGAGCCTGGAGTCTGTTTCAGATTCTGTGTCTCCCTCTCTCTGACCCTTCCCTGTTCATGCTCTGTCTCTCCCTGTCTCAAAAATAAATAAAACGTTAAAAAAAAAATAATATGCCTGTAATTTCACTTTGTGATATTTCAGTTTTAAGCAATATCTAATGTTTCCTCCCTACAGATGATGAGGATTTAGCTTCCCTCTCTCTCTCCCCTCCCCACCTCTTTCTCACACACATTACCCACCCCCCCACTTCAACACATATCCATTCTTTCATATTCCAAATATAGCAGTAACACCATAAATTTAGTGTTTACATTACTATGTTTATACAGATGTATTTACAGTTAAGCCATGTATCTACTATGATTACTTATTCCAATAGAGTATTTTATTTTTCTTGGTGTTCATAATGATCTAGTTTTTTTCTCTGCTTGGTTCTCGTTGTATTTATCACTAATTCAACATCAGACTCTCCTATTTTGTAAATTTCCTCAAACACATAGACAATTCATCTATCAGTTTCACCTTCAGACCTGCTCCAATCTGGACTGGTTGGTTAGCTGTCCCAATCTGATGCATAGTTGTCATGCTGGAATTCTGCTTCACCATCATCCTAGGAATTTCCTTCGCCTCCCTTTTATGATGGGCTCTGTTATCTGATTCCTTTATCTTTTTTTTCCCTTAGGTTTACTCCCTGAGTTTTGATGGAACACATCTTCTGATAGCTTCCTGAGGAAAAACTGCAAGGTAGAAGAAATTTTCAATAACTTGTATGTCCGAAAAGATATTTTTTATCCTCATACTTCACTGACCGTTTCTTGGTATAGAATTCTGGATTGAAATTATTTTACCTCAGAAATATACATATATATGTATGTATGTGTGTGTATATATATATATATATTTATATATACATGTAAATATAT